GTAATAATACAATTGGTATTACGGTTAGTAGATCCAGAAATGCGGTTAGTAGCAATAATAATATATATACAGTCTGAGAAATTCAGTATCGAAGTATGACTTCCTTCTGAGTCTACGTGCTCGCAAATGTGACTCCTAAAAAGTTACCGGTTACCTCACACTCTTACTCTCTCACTGTTCACTGCATCAGTGTATCACTGCCACTCACTCTATCTCCCGAGCATTGGGCACTTCGTGGTGGTGTAATGGTTAGCGATTTTGTCTCGCTAGAACAATTACGACTGAGTAGTGAGTTCGATCCTCACTGGGTGTTCCATACTTTTGGCCTTGTGCCACATCTGAGCTACGCTTGGAAAATCACTATCTCCCGGGCATTCATTGGCAGCAGTACAAGTACACACTGGGCGAGTCCACTTGTATCAAAAAGGGGTGGACCGCATAACATGAACGAACAAAAAATAACTACTGAAACACAAAACTTGAAGAAAGAAATCAGGAAACCGGTTAGAAATGAAAATAAATCGTGGTATAGACTCATCGAATATTACTCTAGAACACCAATACTTTAGGATCTGCCAAAAACCTACAAAAGTGGTATCCCTGTGCGCCGTATAATTTATGAAATAGGCAGTGAAACAAAATAGCTAGAACCATAGCAAAAATATTAACCCCTATCCTTGGAACGAGGTTGATTTAAAAAGTATTGCGATTGACGTTATAAAACGAAAACTACAAAATATATCAAGTCGGCATTTAATCTTCTTTGAAGTAGTCACCCTCTGAAGTCTCACATTTATCGAAGCTTTCCTGGAACTCCATTTTTAGAGAGCAACTGTCTCGTCGCATTCTTTTAGATTTTCTTGACGTTTGGAAATCTTGTTGCTTTTAAATGTGATTTAATGTTTGGAAAAAATAAAAAGGTTTCAAGAAGCGAGATCTCGGGAATAAGCTGGTTGTCGGATCTGGGGAGTGTTTTTGGTGACCAAAAACTGCTGTACAAGCTGCGCTATATGAGAAGGTGGGTTTATGGTTGTGCAATGGCCACTCAAAGGACGCATGAAATTCTGTCCTTTTCCGACAAACATCATCCGGCAAATGCTGTAACACATCAGGGCAGTCCTCGTTGTTTACAGCCTGACCAGGTGGAACATACGCATAATGAACAATACCCTTCACATTGCCTCGACTTATTTTCGCTTTCTTCGGCCTCAGAGAGGTTGCTGTCTTCCACAGCGAAGACTGTGCCTTAGTTTCGAGCAAGAATGTTATAACTTAGTGTGTACGCGCGACATATTTCAATATCAATCTGCGCCAAGCGGCTTCAGACTGTGTACTTTAGCTCAGTTACAATATCAACAATCCCGATACTTTTTGCCTAGGCCGCATAGGTAGATAGATAGGTAGACATATAGATAGAAACAGATTGAGCTAGCTATCTAGCCAGCAAGATAGATAGGTAGTAACAGACTGAGATAGATAGATAGATAGATAGATAGATAGATAGATAGATAGATAGATAGATAGAAACAGACTAAGCTTGCTAGCTAGCTAGCTAGCTAGCTAGCTAGCTAGATAGATAGATAGATAGATAGATAGATAGATATAGTAACAGACTTAGATAGATAGATAGAAACAGACTGAGCTTGCTAGATAGATAGATATAGTAACAGACTTAGATAGATAGATAGAAACAGACTGAGCTTGCTAGCTAGCTAGCTAGATAGATAGATATAGTAACAGACTTAGATAGATAGAAACAGATTGAGCTATGTAGCTAGCTAGATAGGTAGTAAGACTGAGATAGATAGATAGATAGATAGTCACAATTATTGGAACCCATTTTAGAACGTAATGTAGAAAATCTCTTCAAATATGTATTTCGTAAAACAGCTTTGGCTTATTGACAACTAACATTTGATAAAGAAAAGTAAATGATAAAACAAGTTCTAAAAAATAGGACAAAAATTTTTTTTAAAATAAAAGCTAGCTGCGACACTCTTATTTGCATCCTTTAAAAAAGAAGAAAAATAGTTAAAAACCACTTTGACTCACCTGTGAAAAACTAGAAATTAGAATTACCACTGATAAACTATCAATGACCACATGACAGGAATTAGGTAGTTCATGATGACTTCAATTATTTAATAACCCACATGCTGCACCCTGTTGCTTTGTCACAATGGTTACCTGAGAACATCAGACATGTTATTATTAATAAACCCATGCACTCTAAAGAGTATAGGGTCATCCCCAAAGATCCTCTGTTTCAACAGAACACAATGTTATTTTGTTAAGCATGGAACATTCAAGAACCTTTCTAAACGTGGGAGTAAGAGGAAACTTGATGAAAGAAGTCTTCGAATGTTGGTGCGATCCGTAGATAAAGCACCAACCGTAAAAATTTAAAAACCTGAGAGCCAACTTGGAACAATCTGGGGAAATTATTTCATCGTGCATCATGCGGGTTGCACACTCAACCAAATAGGGATGTATGGGCCAATGTCAAGTATACACCGTTACTGAAATTTACCAAAGAGTACCTTGACAAGCCACAAACTTTCTGAAAAAATATTTTATTGGCAGACAAAACAAAGATAGAGATTTTGGGTGATGCGCTCCAACAATAATTCATAAAACGAAAAGAACGCCCTACCAACAGTTATGCATGTTGGAGGATCCATGGTATTGTGAGAATACCTTGCAACATCTAGTGCTGGAGGCTTTGACGATATCATAGGAATCATGGGAGATGAAGATTACCAAAGGGTTTTAGAGAATAATGTGCTGCCCAGTGTAACAAAATAGATATGGCTAGAAGATCATGGGTTCTCCTGCAAAAAAGAACCAAGACAGACGTCCGAAAGTACAGAAGAAATTGACTTTGAAACTGGAGAGCGATCTATTCTGATCTCAGTCTTATTGAAAATCTATGTAGTCAGCTGAAATCTAGCATTGGGAAAATACATCCTTTAATATAAAACACCTTGAACAAATTGCAAAGAAAAAGTGTGAGATACCAGCTTATAGATGGCTAGCAGAATCGTTTGAATACAGTGATTGATACCAAAGAGGGTACAATCAAATATTATGGAGAGGTGCGTTTATTATTGTCCATGTCATTTTTTTTCTTTCTCTCTTTGAAATTATAATATGTAAGTTGAAAAATGACTGCATAAATTACTTTGGACAATCAATTAAATATTTTGATGATATAAATATGGTTATTTTCCAGTTATTTCTGCCAACATAGCAACAAATAAAAGGATTACACTAATGGTGACCAGAACTCTATATATGTTCAAATACAAGTATCCTCTAGGAATAACGTTTAATGTGATAAAAATCAGTCGGATTAATGAGAATTCCATTCTAAAAAAATTATCTTTGAAAACAAAACTGTACAAATATGGAAAAAATTCGAGAGATTCTATGACAGAAAAAAAGTTCTCTTGAAGGTACTAAATTTGGGATCACCAGACCGACTGCACTTCGTGGCCAAGTTGGTTAAAACGTGCCGGGATTAACTGTAGCTTCCTCTGGCTTTAGTGACGCAGATTCATATCCTGTTGGAGAATAGAAATATTTCTTTAATAAGATTTACTCGAACATTCATGCTGGAAGACGAAAACTAAATAAATATACTGCTAATTAACTAAACGGGGCGTCTACTCAAATACGAGTATCCACTAAAGAAAACGTTTTAATGTGGAGAAACTTATCACTTTATTTCATTCATGTCGACTTCGAAGTTTCGTGAGCGCATTGTAGTATTGCCTTCACTTGTCATCCTAACTACTAATCGTACGTCGCAGTTAAAACTAAATTTGGACTATGCTAACATAGTTTACTTTTAGCAGCATACACCGTGGATTAAAATAAAATTGTTATTCTCCTCCGAAACAACAAGGTCGCATTCAGCAATAATAACAAAAGTAAAACTTTTAAATTTATTCTGTCTCCAACCGCCATATTCATCTAACCTTACACCAACTGATTATTTACTTTTACGATCGCCTCAAAATGCTTTGATGGGGAAAATGTTTTTTCATAGAAAGCAGATTGAAGAGTTTGTCGAAACCTTTTTTTTTTTTCATATAAAATCGCGTAGGATTTTTACTCATAGTGCAGCCAAGTTGTGTCTAATAGGTAGCAACAAGTCAGTGCAAACAATGGTGAATATATAATTTAATAAAATGTAATTTTTTTTATATTTTGAAGAATAAATTCTATATACAAATACGGATATTATTTATGACTCAAATCAATACATATATATGTGTGTGTGTGTGCGCGCGCTCGTGTGTGTTCAAATAAAGTTATGTATTACTATGCTTATATATATATGTTTATCTGTGTATGCTTCTGAAAATAATGTTTCACAAAAAACATAAATGTGTGTTATAACTCGTGAATTTCTAAGTTTAAGTCAACGTTCATTCCAACATTCCTTTAATTCGCGAAAAGTTAATCTTCTGCATTAATTTCCCTATTACGGCTACTCTTGTCCATTATCACCCAAAGGTTCTCAATTGGGTTATGATCAGGACTTTCTAAATAATTTAGTCTAGAGCATGCCACGAAGAATTAAAGCCGTTATTTAAGCAAATGTTACCCAATAAAATACTAAATCCTTTTATAATGTACATATGTATACCTGTATTAATACCTGGTATTAATAAACGAATTATATTACTCACTTGTCTTAGTAATAATACAAAATAAAAAAAATGCCAACCAAGACTGGTCTCGTATATAAATATCATGTATGTATCTTGATCAGGTAAGGCTGAATAGTGCCTTTAAGGGAATTCCTTCTAGTCAAAAACTCTCGGAATTATATATTCGGTCAGTTTGGTATCCAAATGTGATTAAAGCAAATAACTAAAGAAGTAATGGATTTTTCATTGATTAATTCAAATGTTTTGATCATTTTAAAAGTTAAAATATCGTTTAAAGTGAAAAATCAGTCATAATAATAAAAGAAATATCCATGAAATGATATGAAATTTCAGGAGTCTGATGTAAAGGATATCACTGAAAGATACGATTCAGGCTGGTTTAAATGACAAAGCTTCTTCATGGCCGTGTCGGTTAAAGCACGTGGAATCTATCTATCTATCTATCTATCTATCTATCTATCTATCTGAGACTGACTGATTATCTATCTATCTATCTATCTATCTATCTATCTGAGACTGTTGATTATCTATCTATCTTTCTATCTATCTATCTATCTATGAGACTGTTATTATCTAGACTATCTATATCTATCTATCTATCTATCTACTTATCTATCTATCTATCTATCTATCTGAGACTGTTGATTATCTATCTATCTATCTATCTATCTATCTATCTATCTATCTATCTGAGACTGTTGACTATCTATCTATCTATCTATCTATCTATCTGAGACTGTTGATTATCTATCTATCTATCTATCTATCTATCTATCTATCTATCTATCTATCTGAGACTGTTGATTATCTATCTATCTATCTATCACTATATATACATATTTCCACGTATATATGTTTTTTGTATGTTTCACACACACACACATGTGCATATATATATATATATATATATATATATATATATATATATATATATATATACGTGTCTATATATTTATGCACATATATATATCTATCATTATGTATACATATTTATATATGTTTTTATATATGTTTCACACACACATACGTGCATACATATATATATATACACACACACACACATATATATATATATATATATATATATATATATATACATATATCTATGGATATCTATCTATCTATCTATCTATATATATATATATATATATATACGTTTCTATATATCTATGCACATATATATATTTTTTTCCGATATATATATATATATATATATATATATATATATATATATATATATATATATATATATAGATAGATATACAGAGAGAGAGAGAGGGGGAAATGTGTGTTTGTGCGTGCGTTTATATATATATATAATATATATATATATGTGTGTGTGTGTATACAGGGCTTGGACAAAATAATTGGAACACTTGTTAAATTCAAAGAAATTTTATTTAATATGGAGTTGGTCCTCCTTTAGCCTCACAGACAGATTTAATACGTCTAGGAATGGAACAGCTTCCTGATTTCATCCAGAGGAGTTTTCAGTCATTCATCCATTAAAACCTTTTCCAGCTCTTTATGACATGACGGTGGAGGAAAGCGGCTCCTAACTTGTTGCTTCAAAATGCACCACAAATGTTCAATAATATTGATATCTTGAGATTGAGGAGGCCACTCCATGTAATCTAGCTCACTTTCATGCTCTTCATACCAATTCTCAACCACTCGAGCGGCATGTATCGGAGCATTATCGTCTTGGAAGATGCAGTCACCATCAGGGAATAAAGTCTTGGCCATTGGATGAACATAATCTCCCAAAATGTTCAAGTAATCTTTGTTGATTCTACCATGCAGGACAAATATTGGACTGAGACATTTCCATGATATGGTGGCCCAAACTATCACTGATCCACCTCCATGCTTCACTGTTGGGAGAAGGCAGTCAGGGTTGTAAGCTTCTTTGGGATGCCTCCACACATAAACTCGCCCTGAATTTGGGAAAAGAGAAAAACTGGACTTGTTTGAGAATATACTTGCTTCCATTGGTCTGCAGACCAGGCATTGTGATCTCTGCACCACTTCAACTTCTTTTGATATGCAGCCTTATGGAGCACACGGTGAACAGTTTTAGTAGAAACTGAACTATTCAGATGGTTATTGAACTCAGCAGTCACTTTGTCTGCATTTGTCCGATGATTTTTTGCCACAATGCGTTTCAATGCACGTCAGTCCCTGTCAGAAAGTTTGCAAGTCCGGCCTGAATTGCTACGGTTGCTAGAGGTCTTGCCCTGTTTCCCGAAATGCATCAGTGTTCTTGATATGGTAGCTCTTGAAAAACCAAACAGTTCAGCAACCTCAGTGATCGAGGTTCCTGCCATGCGAGCTTCAACAATTTGCTCATTTTCGAACACAAAGAGGTCACGCATTTAACCGAAATTTTAGTAAATTCTAAAAATAAATAAGACAAAGACAAAAGTAAATTAAATAAATAAACGTATTAACAATAGATATAACCTGCAATTACGAAGTTTTAGTTAAAGTTCTTAATATAAAAGGTCTTTGAAATATAGAAACGGATTCTGCAACTGTTTCAATTATTTTGTTCAACCCCTGTATATATATATATATATATATATATATATATATATATATATATATATATATATATATATATATATTACAATTAATGAGATCCAAGCGATTTACCTCATACAGATGATCATTTCGTCCATTGGGTATATATATATATGTATATATATGCATGTATCTGTATATATATATATATATATATATATATATATATATATATATATATATATATGTCTATTTTTTTTTACACACACACACACACACACATATATATATATATATATATGCGTGTGTGTACGTTTAATCAATGCGTCTTTTGTAATGCACGCGCGTTTGTTGTATTTTTTTAACTTATCCGCTTTGTGTTTGTCTTCTACGTTTCTTTGTCAATATCTTTTTAGTTTTCTTCCTTATCACCATTTTGTCTTGATACCTGCCTAAAAATCTATCGCATATCTTTCCTTTCTCGACATGTGTAGAAGTCGGCTAATATCGTGTCGTCCGGGACACTTGCAAATCCCGCCCTTTTAAAAAGGCGATAAAAAAAATAGGCAACATCCGAGTAGGCGGGAAGCGGCTGTGCAGAGTGATTAAGTGACGGTCTTCTAACATGTAACGTTTATATCTGAGTCATTCTTAAACCAGTAGAGAATCAAGAAACTAAAATTGTCCATCAAGACACTTGATTTATTCGGCGTTTGTCTGATTGGGAGGAGCAAAGGAATGAAGGCGGACGGATATAAAAGAAAATGCAGATTAAACAAAAAATCTGGTAAAGAGAGTCCAAGAATAGCTAAATTAAAAATAGAGAAGAAATAAGCACTAAAGTTAGAAAAAGGCGGGAAAGAGCGAAAGAATGGATAGGCTCAATAATGAAAGATAGAATGAAGACATACAGAAAAGAAAGCAAGAAACAGTGTCAGAAATATTAAGAAAGAAGCAACGAAATAAAAAGAAAGGAGGAGTTGAATAAAGAAAAAGAAAAATGGAAGAAAACTAAACGAAAAACAAAACGAATGAAATATCGACGTAAGAGAATTTAGAAAAGATACCGAAAGTAAAAAGGAAAGATAAATGAAAAAGAAAGAAAGCTTAACAAATTTTCAAAAAAAATTGCAATACAATGAATGAAAGAAAGAAAGAAAGAAAGATATAAGAATTCCGAAGAGGAAAAAGAAAATTAAAAGAAGAAATAAATGAAAAGAAAATTAGATTATTGAAAGAAAATGAAAAGTGTCTCCAGAGATTCACTGAAATTTAAACTGAAACAAAAAAAAAAAACAAAGAAAAGATTTTGAATTCAGAAATGAAAGAAAGTGAACGAAAAAAACGAAAGTCAGAACGAAAATACAAAAATTATAATTTGGAAAAATTGAAGAGACAAATTGAAGAAAGAAAATAAATTATGAAGGAAGAAAATGAAGAAAATAGCCAAGCTTAAAAGCTTGAATAAGTTTGAACGAAAATATAAATTCTCGAGCGAATTATAGGAAAAAAATACTACTGCTACAAAGAATGAAATTCTCCAAGAAGAATCAGAAAATATTGGAAATGTTCGATAGAAGAATATAGAATAAAGAAAGAAATCTTAAGCAATATCTGCTTGACGAACTCTCGTGGGTAAAAAAAAGTAAAGGATATAAAACAAAAGGAGTGAATTACATTGTGTCGTCGATAAGCAGAGTGAGTTGTGAGTGACAGAAGAGAGTTAATGCAAAATAAGATGAATTCAGACAGAAACGCTTCATTTCATATGAAAAAGAAGACGGTGGAATCATGAGAACAAAAGTCGTAGTCAGATAAAGAGAAACAAAATGATGTCGATAATTCTGAGAAATAAAGCAAGTGTAAAAATGAAAACAAAAAACAGTAAAGCCGAACAAAACAAAAACATATTTTCGAAAGACAATGTAAGCAATAAGATACCGTACAAGGGTAGATTAAAAGAGTATTGTAATTACGAATTTAAAAGATGAACAAAAACAAAGATGGCGACGAAGTTAAGTTATTTTTTTCTTCTTCTGATGGCTTCTGTCGATAAGGTTTCAATTTATTTATCTGCATTTGGAAATGAAAAGAAAGCTCTCTTGAAACGTCAGATCGGTAGTTATTTTAGTGTTCTCATTGTGTTGAAGGCTCAATTTATTTAGTTGGTTTGGTTGCTCAGAATTCACTTCAGTTTGTGTCGCTGTCACATTCAATATTGTTGGTCGCTTTCGACGGAGAGTAGATAACGAACATATTTCATGTTGAGTCGATAAACAGATTTCTTTCTTTTTTTAACAGTATTCAACCTTCAAATTAAATGTCATTTTTGATGAGTTCTATTTATATTATTTATAATGAACATTACGATACCAAATTGCAATATTGCAGCAACAAATACTATGCACAGACGTGTATATATATATATATATATATATATATATATATATATATATATATATATATATATATATATCCTGTTTCAGACTTTTGGCTATTGTCTAACGCAGACACATACATGCATGTACACACCCACATACAAACACAAACACATACGAGAAAATAGTTTCCGTTTTCTGTCAAGATAACATTACTATTGCTTCATATATATATATATATATATATATATATATATGGGGGGAAGCTAGATAAGAATATGTAGAAATGTTAAATATATGACAATTGTGTAAATTACTATGATACGTTCCACTGATTTTGGGGATGATGACAGTTCTTTGGTATGAACGTCAAATATCACTAACTCGTCTTATATATTTTCAACACACACACACACACACACATATATATATATATATATATATATATATATATATATATATATATTAGTAGTCGTAGTACTAATAGCAGTACATGGTACGATGGGTAAATTGTCTACATTTTATATTTCTCGCATGCGCGTTGTTAGATTTTGTTTTTGTCAACTGTATAGTAGGATCAGTTGGGCACAGTCTGTGGGAAATAGAGCACCATGATGCAATTCACTCCGCCGTAATGATGGGAAATAGAGCACCATGATGCAATTTACTCCGCCGTAATGATGGGAAACGGCATGCTGTACTACGTGGTACTGACGCTGGAGGAACCAATATGAACATTGTAGAGAGTTTGAGTATAAATCTAAAGACAGTGTAGATGATTCCGAAAGAGTTGGATGACTCTAATGGTGATTAAGAAGGAACCGTAGCTCAAATACGCACTCAGATCGTTCTAATAAGAAAAGAACTCCCGAGTTTTGGGGTGAGGGCCTCCCACTTGAGAAGAGAGCGATAAACTGTGTCAAGAGCGTGGCTGCAAGTACTTTTGACAGGTTCTCCGGTCATCATCAGGCATGGAAACTATTTTGTTTTTGTTAAAATCAGGTAGCATCCGAGACGAAAAATTATAATGCAAATAGAAATATGTTTTGTTTTTTTTTCAAATGTGTTATTGATATCGGATACTTATTGAACTATTTAGTTCATGTCAGGTTGACTGATAAGCTCCTACAACGAAAAAAAATTTCTTAAATTGCCATAATAGCAAAAAACACACTCATTTAAATTTTAAAAAGTTCAACCTTAGCATTGCGACTGCACGCTCCACAAGTTTGTATCCGTTATCAATAACACATTTAAAAAAATAAAAAATATATATCTATTGGCATTATAGTTTTTCGTCTCGAATGCTACAAAATAACAAAAAAAAATTTCCATGCCTGAGGATGACCGACAGGAACCGTCGAAAGTACATGCATATTTAAGGATGACCTAATGCAGATTATAATTTTAAAAAACAAGGATCATAACATTCATCGAGTGATTAGTGGGTTAATGTATCTTTAAAAAAATTTTAGCGAAGGGATTTCGCCATTTTATATCATTAACTTTACTAATTTACTTTTTGTATGAATGATTCATTTTAATATAAATTAAACTGCACCATATATATATATATATATATATATATATATATATATATTCATCCAAAGACTGATAGTTTCGCTGTTTTACAGCTCATCAGTATGACTAGACATCCGATTGCCTCAAACCAGGATCGAAACCCGACTGATGTAGTATCAGTCTGAGATTTTACATTGGCAGGGATGAAGGTGCATTTAGACGTATTTATTTTTCGACAAACACGCCGGTGCCCAGAGAACTCGATTCGTCTTAACGAAGAGTCTTATGCAAATGAGAGAAAGAAGATTAACCCTGCATATAAAAAAAAATACTACATAAATTCCTCTATGTCGAATTGACCACGCTAACCTTTGACATTTGATATTACCATCTACTTGACTTTGATACACAGACACGTACGTGTAAACACTAACCAGGATATTTAAGGACAAATATCTTCTACTTTATTGAACACGTACTATAAACATGTCAAGATAGTAAAAAGAATACACGAATAAAATTAGCATTGCTTACTTCCACTTGTCGATTTATTGTTTCCGCTTCCTCTCAAGATTTGATCTAAATGCTAAGTTGGTTTACTGTCAGAGGAAAATATCTTTATTTGAATAACAAAAAAATAATTAGAAAAGCCATTAACAAACAATCATTTATTTATATAAAGATCACAAGTTGGTAACTAAATACAGTTAAGTTGAGAGAGATATCGCACTAATGTTAGTAATTATTGATAAAACCATTTTACGTAATATTTGCATACACATGAACAAAACGACTATACAAAAATACGAAAGCCTAAAATTTAAATAATTTCCGAGAAAACAGGTCAACACATTCATATGTACACATGCGAGCTTCAGCTATTAGGTGTGTGCCCGGGTTTCTGTGCGCGTGTTTGTGTGTGCACGCGCGTTCTGGGTGTGTTCGTACCCTAAAGCAATATAGTAAGTGCAATGACTCATTTAAAAGAGGTAGTATTAGGACAAAATCTTTTATTGAAAACGGGTTTGCATTCTAAGAGCAATACTCATATGATCACAGACTCGTAATAGACCAAGCTCAATAAAGGAGGTAATTTTTATTTACAGCAATTTCACATTAGATTTTAATCGATTATTCTTGAAAGGCGTCTTAGTCTAAGATAAAATTCTGTAAGCGTAAGAAAACACCAGTTTTATATATATATATATATGTGTGTGTGTGTGTGTGTGTGTGTGTTTGTCTAAGAGAGAGAGAGAGAGAGAGACGTCTATGTCTTTAATAATCCTTGGTTATTTTTGTATACATCTGTGTCAAAAAGAATCTTTTATACTTCTTAATAAATCCATGGTTAATTTTTATATAAATCTATGTTTAACAGTGACTTTTATGCATATAATAAGCCCTGGTTATTTTCGTACACATATGGTAATTTACTAAGCGAAACTTAATTGTGGCACAAGACCGAAAATAAGTAGCACCTACTGAGGATCGAACTGACTATTCAGTTGTAATTGATCTAGCGAGACAATTTCACTAACCATAATACCAGGTCGAAGTGCAACAAAAGATTGAAGAATTATGACGGTTTTCTAAGT